GTAAATGTAAAAAGTGTAGATGTGGTCCAAGCACCCACCGCCTACGACATCGAGGCCACCCGAGCTCCCCCCTCAACCCCAACTCCCCTCGACCTTGAATTCCCCGAACATAATCAACCATGTCCAAACCAAGCAAATACCTCCTCCTCTCCCTCCCAACCTCCATCGTCCCCTCGCACCACCGCGACGAAGCCCTCGAAGCAGTCTCGGCCACCGTCTCCCCGGACAATGGCTCCGCTACCTCCTTCCCAATCCCCGAGTTCAAGATCGGCACGCTAGATGCCCTCGTCCAGCAAGCAGACGAGCTGTCCAAGCTCGAGGCTTCGTGCCAGAGTGTCGTTGCCAAGGTCAGCGATGCGTTGAAGAACATCGTCGAGGACGAGACGCAAATTGAGCAGATGAAGGTTGTCAACGATAGTACGTCTCCGGCTTATTGATCTGGCTGTGGAGGGGAAAAACAGTCTTGGGGATATCTCTGGATTCCAGGTTCTGACTGCCTACAGAGCCAGTCGATCAGTACCTGCGTACTTTCCAATGGGACAAAGTCAAGTACAGGGCTGATAAGTCCTTGGCGGAGCTGATTGATATGCTGCAGAAGGTAGGTTGCGCCGCACATGGAAATGAGGTCACTGTCTGGCTTGGAGGTGGATGTTAATGATTTTGTTGACTGTAGGAAGCATCCAGCATCGACAACGACATCCGATTCAAGTACTCCCAATATAACCAGGTCAAGAACACGCTGTCCACACTGCAGCGCAAACAAACGTACGTTGACTGCGACGGACACTGCGATGTATGAATGTATCGTGCGAGAACCAGAACTAATGCGCTCTACGCAGAGGCAACCTCTCAACCAAGTCCCTCGCCTCAGTGGTCGACCCGAAATCAATCATCCAGGACTCCGAATACATCGAAACCCACCTCGTTGCCGTGCCCGTCCAGTTAGTAAAAGACTTCCTCAAGACCTACGAGACCGTCGCACCGATGGTGGTCCCACGCTCTGCCCAGCTGGTCGCCTCCGACAGCGAGTTCACGCTGTACGCCGTGACAGCGTTCAAGAAGCACAGCACCGAGTTCGTGCATAAGTGCCGTGAGCAAAAGTGGATCCCGCGCGACTTTAAGTATGTCGAGGGTGGAAAGGAGGAGGAGCGCAAGGAGGTTGAGCGCGTTGGTGGTGACGAGCGTAAGGTATGGGGTGAGACGCTGCGACTCGCTTGTACGGCTTGGAGTGAGGCTGTTATGGTCTGGATTCATATTTTGGTTCTGAGAGTGTTTGTTGAGACGGTACTGCGGTATGGATTGCCGTTGGATTTCGTCTGTGCTTTGGTCCGGGTATGTTCTTTCTGCTTCTGCTTTTTGGCTTTTACGGTGACATGGGCTGACTTTCTTTGCTCTTTCTACAGACACAAACTACCAAGCAAGTAGACCGCGCAAAGCAGAACCTCGAGAATAAATACTCGTATCTGGCAGGCAATGCCTTTGGACGGGACAAGAAGGGTCGTATGCAGCGGGATGATCCTGGCGAGATGCACCCGGGTGGTGAGGGCAGCGCAGACTACACGCCGTATGTGTTTTATGAATTCGAGTTCAACTAAGGTTGCCTATTTGAGGCATCGCAGGAGATACAAAATTTCGAGAAGACACGTAAATATACCACCTTGGTACATCTAGCACAAACTAGCATTGGATTTTTTTCTTCGTTTCAACAATGAACAGGCATTCAAGCGAATAGAGAAAGGATCAGATCCCATCTCCTCTAAATGCAATATGCAAAAGCGATCTATATTGTCCACATAGTATATACAGCCAGCGGGGAGGGGAATCAAGCACAAAAACACCATATCCGCTGTACAGGACTCTTTCATGTAAATCCATAGATACATCCCAATCCCAAGAGCTTACTCCTTCTTGGCAGGCAAGTAACCCTTGGAATCAAGGTAGTCAATAATCTGCTTCACAGCATCCTGAACCGGCAACTCATAGTTCTTAACGTGAACCTCAGGGTTAGCCGGCGCCTCATAAGGAGCCGAAATACCAGTAAACTCCTTAATAAGACCCTCCCGGGCCTTCTTGTACAGACCCTTGGGGTCGCGCTGCTCAGCAACCTCAACGGGGACATCAACATAGACCTCAACGAAAGGAAGACCGGTCTGCTCGCCGGGGGTGACAGCCTCGTGCAGCTCGCGGGCAGTGTCACGATCTTTCCGGTAGGGGGAGATGAAAGAAGTGATTGCGATGGAGTTGGAGTCGGCGAATAGCTTGGCAACTTCGGCAATGCGACGGATGTTCTCGTTGCGGTCGGCTTCGCTGAATCCAAGGTCCTTGTTCAGTCCGAAGCGGATGTTGTCGCCGTCCAGACGGTAGGCGTGGACGCCGCGGTCGCGGACGAGTTGGTGCTCCAGTTCGACGGCGAGTGTGGACTTGCCGGAGGCGGAGAGGCCAGTCAGCCAGATTGTGAGACCTTGCTGGTTACGCAACTCGGTGCGCTCGTTGCGGGTCAGGGCGCTGGCGTGGAAGGTGATGTTGCTAATTTTTGTTAGATTGGGGTTTAGGGTTGGAATTGAGGGTTATTTGGACTTACCTAGACATTTTGGAGGTATATGGAATAATTGAAAAGAAAAGAAAGAATGAAAAGTTGAAAATGCCAAAGTTATAGGGCCGCGTCACTGAAGATATGATCATTGCGGGGTGGATAGTGGTGTCGCCATAGCTTGGCATTTTAATTTTTATAGTCTTCTTCTTCTTCTTCTTCTTCTTCTTCTTATAGTCTTTCAGTACTTAGTATATTTCTGCAGTCTATTAAGTCTATAAAATTGTATAGGTAGAATGCAATATTTACAAATTCTAACCCCAATCAGGAACCAGGAACAGGAACCTGAAATTTCTTCACGCCACTTTGTAAAGACTCGAAAGTGCCTAGGAAAAATTAGCCACCGAAAAGTCCAAAAAGTCAATACCTAACTTACAGCAGCTTGTCGAGGCTCAATGAACAAAGCCTTAGCCTCAACCAAAACAACCGGCTCTGTCCCATCAATGGGAAGAGTCTCAATTCGACCTTCCACCCACGCCTTCCGACCCTCAACCTTAACCGTCTCCGCCCGAAGCGCAACATACTGATTCGCCATAGCAGGAGCACGGTAATCAATATTCAAATTAGCCGTCACACCCACCTTATTCGGCAGCGCAGGGAAACAACAACGCGCCAGACCCTCATCTAACAATGTAGCCAGTAGACCACCGTGAATAATCCCCTGGTGACCGCAGACATCACCACCGAGATACATCAGCGAGACCATGGACTTGCCGTCGCGCTCGCTGAATACATACGGCGGCACGACGATCTTCCCCGGTCCAGCCAGCGTTCCGGCGGTCAGGTTGCGTAAGCGCAGGGGCTCTGGGATTGTGAGGTGTGGGCGGGATTCGGAGAAGTCGGAGTTTGCGCGGAGGGCTTCTGCGACGGGGTGGGTGCGGATTGTGGTGTCGATTTTGGAGGTCATGGGATCGGTGGCGATGAAGGACGTGAGGGTCTCTTCTTCGGTTGGGGTGGCCATTATGCGTGAGAGGGTGAGGTTGGTTTGGTAGGTTAGTCCGATGGTGAATGCGAAGACCGCGATTGAGGTGAAGCCGATGAAGCGGCGGAGACGGGAGCGCTGGGGTGGTAATGGGTGGGTAGAGGTGGATTCTGTGATTATTGAGTTAGTTTCTTCTATTGCAAATGGGGTAGGCTGTTTTATATATTACCGGTAGAGTAAGACCGGCTATAAGGTCGCTTCGGGGCAACGGAGAAAGAGTTGCGCGTAGGCAGTCGCGATGGAGAGGTAGATGGAGAGGAAATGCGAAGAGATTTAAAAGATCGACGGAACATCATAAATTATAAGTGAGAATTAACAAAAAAGATTCGAATCTATGGAGATCTAGAAGGCGAAGTTTGTTGAGAAATCAGTGGTTGAGGTTCAAGTGGATTTTGGTTTTGCCTCGGCATCTCCAGCTTCACCGAGATTTTATGTTCATAACTCCAGGGCTGGTTATATTGATTATTGATTATTGATTATAAGGTTGCTATTTCTTATTCTTTCTATAAATTTCAAATTAATCGCAATACACGTGTACGGAGTACTCCGTATGTAGTGGATATTCTTCATAGCCCTATATATCAACACTATATACTATGGCAAACTTTCGAATCGTGTGGTATCAATCGCGCTATGAGACTGAAGGCACTTTCGGCGTATAAGAGTAATTTGACATTTATAAGGGGCAGATGTAAACTTCCAGAAAACGCCATAGTCGAAAAGAAACGATGTGAAAGAGAGACGAAGAGATGAGAGAAAGATGTGCAAAGGCCTCTACGGTGGCCTGGAGGCAATGTCTCTCAAATCATCATAGCCAGAAGAGATACAGCTTTCTTTTCTTCGATATTCGGCTTTTTCCTTTTCACCTTCTCAACTCTATGCATCTCCTTCGGGTTTCTCATAGTCTACCTGGTTGCCTTCTAACGTTTGAATACCGGTCTATACACACAGCTATTGACTTAATCCGAGTATCTCACCAGATCCTTAGTTTCTCTATCTTCGAAAATACACGGCGTCCGGGCTTGCAAATAAAGTATATGGCGAAGCCACATCTAGCAGACGACATACATGCTAGCTTTTATTTACTCGATACCTAATCTGTGACATATGTTACACTATGGTTTAATTTTGTGGAGGTGAAGACATAAAAATACTTTTGCGCATATCAATCTTGTCTTGGGCTGTTTCTCAATCCTATCAATCCGGGTACACGAGTCCCAGCCTCCAATACTTGCACTACAACATGAGACATATCCCCGGATTAATATACGGGAATATGCAGCGGAATGCAATAGACAGGGATCAACAGGGATCGCCAGGGGCATGCATACCAGGCAGGCGCGGGATGAAGGAGGTGCATACAGTATGTATCTACATATGTAAATAGCAGACCTTCCCGCGCTCAATCATCTTTATTCAACCTAGAAAATGCCGCCATATTTATTACTATCGCTATTTTTAACCAGTCGTCTCCTAGTCAACGCTACAAATATCCCTCCAGTGGAAGATTATGATGTCCTACAATACATCAATCCCTTGATTGGCAGTGCTAACGGAGGTAAGTTCGAACAACTAAATAACTCCAACTTCACACCAACCAATTCTCCCAGGAAATGTCTTCCCAGGTGCCTCCCTGCCATACGGCATGGCGAAAGCCGTTGCCGACACAGACTCAGAAAGCAACCAAGGAGGTTTCGCCCACGAGGGCGGCAGCGTCACCGGATTCTCCAGCATGCACGACTCTGGCACTGGAGGCAGTCCTTCGTTAGGCAATTTCCCACTCTTTCCCTATGCAAAATGTGCCGGCGACGATGTGAATGGCTGTATTTACCCAAAGAACCAACGAAAGATAAAGTACAAGTCCGACTCGGTTCAGGCGCACCCCGGATACTTTGCTATAGAGCTGGCATCGGGGGTCCGGGTTGATATGACAACTGCGCATCATACATCCTTGTTTCGCTTCCAGTTCCCAAATGATAAAAGCACCAGCCCATTGATCTTGCTGGATCTCACCGATCTATCGAACTCCCGTCAGGACAATGCGACTATCTCGGTGGATAGCAAAACGGGCCGAATGACCGGTGATGCGCGCTTCGCTCCTAGCTTTGGATCGGGATCGTATGTCTTGCATTTCTGTGCGGACTTCGCAAGCCCTGCAGCACAGCGAGATAGTGGTATCTTTGTCAATTCTCGTGCTAGTGCTGGTGTTCATGATTTGAAAATATCGCGCAGTATCAATGGGTACCCGCTTCCAGTGAGTTGATGAGCTTTTCTTCTTGTATACAGAGATGACTGACCGTAATTGCATAGGGTGGTGGATTTGTCCGCTTCAAGCCTTCCCAGGACAATACGGTCCTCGCTCGAGTTGGCGTCAGCTTCATGAGCACAGAGCAAGCTTGCGTTCACGCCGAAACTGAGATTCCACACTTTGACTTCAATGCAACCCGCCAGGTATCAATCGACCAATGGACCGAAAAGATGCGTCCGATCCGTGTCTCACGAACAAACATCGATGCGTCCGTTCTGTCCAATTTCTACAGTGGAATATATAGGACTATGATCAACCCTCAGAACTACACAGGCGAGAACCCGCTCTGGCAGAGCAGCGAGCCTTACTTCGATTCGTTCTATTGTCTTTGGGATTCTTTCCGTTCCCAGATCCCATTCCTCACGATCTTCGATCCTTCCTCGGTAATTCAGATGGTGCGCTCACTTATCGATACCCAGCGCCATCTAGGCTGGCTACCGGACTGCCGCATGTCACTGTGCAAAGGACATACACAGGGCGGTTCCAACGCCGACAACGTCCTAGCAGATGTCTACCTGAAAGGCCTTAGAGGGGGTATTGATTGGGATGCCGGGTACGCAGCTGTGCAAAAGGACGCCGAGGAGGAGCCATACGACTGGTCCAGCGAAGGCCGCGGCGGTCTACGCAGCTGGAAGGATCTACACTATATACCCGTGGAAGACTTCGACTACGAGGGTTTCGGCACAATGACGCGCAGTGTCTCACGCACACTCGAGTACTCGTACAACGACTTCGCCATAGCCCAAATGGCTCGCCGCATGAACAAAACGGCTGATGCAGAGCGGTACGAGAGAAGATCCCGATACTGGCAAAACCTATTCAAGAAAGACCAAACTTCTCTCTTGAAAGGAAAAGACACTAGCTTCACCGGTTTCTTCCAGCCCAAACATCTGAATGGAACATGGGGTGTCCAAGATCCCCTCGCATGCTCGAACATCGATCAGAGTGGACACGCCTGCTCACTGCAGAACACCGCAGGTGAAACATTCGAATCCAGCATCTGGGAGTATCAATTGTAAGCTTCCCTCCCACTTCTATCCCTAACCCATTCTAACACCAGCCAGCTTCGTTCCCCACGACATGCAAACCCTAATAACCCTCCTCAACGGCCCCACCGAATTTGTCACCCGCCTCGACTACCTCCATGACCAAAACATAACCTACATAGGCAACGAGCCCGCCTTCCTAACAGTCTTCCAATACCACTACGCCGGCCGTCCAGCAAAATCCACCTCCCGCGTGCGCGCCTATATCCCCGACTACTTCTCTCCCACTCCAGCCGGACTACCAGGCAACGACGACTCAGGCGCAATGGGCTCATTCGTCGCCATGGCGATGATGGGATTATTCCCGAACCCAGGACAGGACGTGTACTTACTCACAGTACCGTTCTTCGAAACCGTTAGTATTGTTTCACCGCTGACGGGGAAAACGGCAACGGTGAGGACGACTAACTGGGCTGAGTATAACACACCCAATGCTACTGGTGCTGCTGCTGGTGGAAATGGGTTTATTCGGTCTGCTACGCTGGATGGGAAGCCTTGGACGAGGAATTGGATTGGACATGATTTCTTTACCGAGGGCAGGGAGTTGGTTCTTGTTCTTGGGAAGGAGGAGGGTGATTGGGGAACTAAGGTCGAGGATTTGCCTCCTTCTTTGGCGCCAGAGACTGGGGGTGTTCGTGGTGATGGGGCTGTGAGGGACCGTAGGTGGGAGAGTGTTGTTGAGAGTGGGCAGATTGGTGCTGTTTCTGGCGCATCGAAGCATGCTTTGCATCTTGATCATCATATCCGTAGGGTTGGAGATGGTCATGTGGATACAGGGAGCTTGGGTTGATTTGGGGCTCTGCTACTTGTTGGTAGCTGTTTTCTTTTACTCTAAATTCGGTAACTAGGTAGTTTATCCTTATAGCAGTATTCATTCGACTGCCTTGGATATATAATTCTTGCTTGTAACTTGTAATTGTTTTTAGAAAAGGGTCATTTAGCATATATACAAAGGCCAAATAATAGAATCATCTCAACGCTAGTCTTTCGCACGAGTCCCTCCACTTCAGAAGGGACCAAAAACTGAAAAGCACAAACCACAATTTAAAAATAGAAGAGTAAATCATTGATCCCCTACTGGGGAGGACGGTGGAACTTGCTCGCAATCCAAGGCATACCAACAACAGTAGCCTTGCGGACCTTATTGCGGACCTTAACAGCGAGCTCGGTACCCTTTGTGTGAAGCCCTTGCTTGACATACGCCATAGCAATATTAGCACCACCAAGCGACGGGCTGGGCAGACCGGAAGTGACAACGCCGACCTCAACGGGGTTCGCGGGGTCAGAGATATCGACAACGAGAGCGCCCTCACGAGCTGGGGGACCCTTCTCAACGGAAAGCCCGACACGGCGCTGGGGAATAGTCTTCGGGCTGGCGAGTTGGGAAAGGATAATAGAAGCACCGTTGAAGGTAGCAGTGGCAGGATCGCGACGATCACGACCGACAACCCATCCAAGGGCCGCGGCGGGCGGGGTCTGCGCGGTAGAGATATCGTGACCGTAGAGACACATGCCAGCCTCGAGACGGAGGGAGTCACGGGCTGCCAGACCAGCGAGACGGGATTTGGTGTTGTCGGCGAGGAGGAGCTCGGTGACTTGTCGGGGGAGGGATGGGGCACCGGAAGTGGGGATTGAGATCTCGAAGCCGTCTTCGCCGGTGTAGCCGGTGCGGGAGATGAGGAGCGGGTGTGCGGTTGCGCTGCCGTCTGGGAGGGTGAGGTACAGCTCGCGGCAGTTGCCGAAGTAGAGGGTGCTTAGGTCTGTTTCGGAAGAGGGGGTGTTTGCGGTGTGGATGAGCGGTTGGAGGACGGAGGCGGCGAGGGGTCCTTGGAGCGCGACCAGCGCGCGGTCTGCGAGGATCTCCCATTTGATGCTGTCGGCTCCGTGCTTGGAGCGGTAGGCGTCGATCTCGGCGGTTAGGAAGGCCAGGTCCTCTGTGCGGCGGCCGGCGTTCGTGACGAAGTAGAAGCTGTCTTCGGTGCGGCGTGTGATCACGCAGTCGTCGACCATGCCGCCGGTGCCTTCTTCGAGGAGGCAGGAGAGGGTGGAGGTGTTCGGTGCTAGCTTGTCTACTGAGGAAGGAGTCACCTTCTTTAGTAGATCACTGGCTCCGGGGCCGCTGAGTTGGTGCTGGACCCTATAGATGGGGAACTTGGTTAGCCATTGCGGGTTTGTTTTGGCTCGGAGACGGTTCACTTACATGTGGCTGACGTCGAAAAGACTGGCCTTCTCGCGAGTCCACATGTGGCTTTCTACATGGCTCAAATCCGCATACTGCAAAGGCATATCGAACCCGGCGAAAGGCACCATCTTGGCACCGTGCTCCACGTGCAAGTCATAGAGCTGTGTCTTGCTGAGGGGCTCGCTGGAGCTAGAGGCATAGCGAACAGCCTGGTTCGCAGCACGCGAAGCTACGCCCGCGACTGGGGTATTGGTTTTCAATGACCGGACGACTGTTGGTCGCACGATAGCCGCGGAGGAGAGCTCCCGCCGAAGTATAGTGGAGCCGATAGAGGCGCGGGGAAGGTTGAGGGTAGCGGCCCTCGCGGCGGCGAGGTCAACACCTCGTGTGAGAATACGGACGCTTGACATGGCGAATCAATGCTGTAGGAAAGGAATTGACAAATGAAGAGAGAAAAGAGAAAGAAACGAACCGCACGAAGTCACCAATTCACCGTCGGGGAAGCATCACGGGAAAATCACGTGGTGATAGGCGATCGGGGAGTAGCTGGTTGCCCGATTCGGACGTTCTATGCTGACGGCGATATAGTTCTAGACTGACTATATCATTAGCCTATTCTAACATAGGATAGAAGTTTGTATGACAATCGGTGGATTATCGTACATTTTCCATCGGTGGCGATTGTGTTCCTGTACAACTCAGGTACAGGACTACATTTATTGGCAGACCAAAAGGCCATCGGAGTATTGCCGCGGCGATGGCGAATCAAAGCCGGAGAGCTAATTGCAGTCTCCAAGCCGATCGCCTACATTCAATTAAAGATGCCAACTGCTGCAAAGAATGCAGGGGTAAAAATATACATATAGGGGGAGCAAATCCCAAGATCCAGGCTCTTTTCCGCCAAGCTATACAGAGCAATTGAAAGCCTGCGACGGAATCCGCATCATGAAAAACAATTCCAAATATCCCAAAGGTGGTCAAGTGGTATGTAGAATCCATGAGTATCCGCCACCTTGCCTTCTCGGTCATCACAGTCATAAAGTCTCCGGGATCTGTGGCCCGGTAGATCGGAAACAACGTGCATAAGAGATCCAAATGTGAAGATGAAGATAAGAAACATTACAAAATCCCCGCCCTGCGGGGTGTTCACAGTCCGTTGCTGGCACAGGTGAAAACACCGCCGACGGCGCCGTCCGCGTAGCTGGTAACAACGGACATGACAGCAGCCTGGAATAAATATTTGTTAGCAAGAGCACAAGAAAAAACAAGAACAAGCCAAAGCAGGCCAGACAAGGGTTCATCACTTACGTATGTTCCAGGTCCCAAGAAGAAGAAACCAACGATAATTAAGAAGACATTAAAAATGAATCCGAGCCAGCCCCGAATTCCGCGGACCATAAAGAAACGGGGTCCGTGATCCTCAGCGCGCATGCGGATATAAGCGACACCCCAGAAAATGAATCCGAAGAAGGAATCAAAGAGGGCGCTCATGATAGACAACAAGTCGGAGAAGAAGGGAATGACTTCGGCAATGATAAAGGCCGCGAGCCAAAGTGCAGCAAGGATTGCACCCCAAGCAGCCCAGCCAACGACAGTGTTGTTGCCCTTGTGGCGAGTGCCTTCGAACAGACGGAAGAAGATGAAACGGGCTGAGACGGAGGCATACAGCACGCCCAAGAAAATGATAGTCGGGATCATGAACGAGAAGGAGACCTTCTTGAACACGTCGTCGCCGATCGAGCCGAAGGCTGGCGCAACCATGTACTGATTACCGACGTAGACGTAGGTGACCGCGCCGACGACGCTGAAGACGATGATCTCGGCGATTGTCACGGCTGTCACGGACTTCCAGAAGTCACGGGGCTCCTTCATCTCGGCGATGAAACTGGGAAGGGTGATTTGGCCGATGAAAGTGTAGCTAATGTTCAAAAAGGCATTCATGCCCTTGACAAATGTCGTGCCCTTGGCAGGGACGACAAGCACAGTGGGTTCTCCCAGTGCAGCGGAGTATCCTGCCGGGTGGTCTTCGACGGCAGCGAACACGGCAGCCAGGACGACGGAGACAAAGGTGAAGAATGCCGAGAGGGTTGCAACTTTGGACAGCGTGCTGAATGTACGGGGCAGTGAGAAACCCCATGAAATGATGGCGACGACCATTGAGAAGACGACTGTGCATACTGCCCCGCCGGACATCGTGTTCAAGTACTGGGCACCCACCACACAGTGCAGGCCCTGGATGAAAGTGTTGTTCAGGAGGAACATGACTGCTGTGGCCCACCACGCAATCTTGGAGTCCCAGAACAGATACTGACCGATGTCGCAAACGTCGCGGACTTCTGGGTGTCGCAGACAGAATCTCCTATGCAAATATTAGCATCAGGGCTTATACCAGGGCTCGCAGCCATTGAGCAGGATATCATACCAGGTAATCAGCGAAGTGTACAGGACAATGCCAGCAATAACCACGGTCAGGATCAAACCGGGAACCAGACCCAGAATGGAATATGACCAGGGAAAGGACATAATAGCCAGACAAATATACTCGGAGAAAAGCAATGCAGCGGTCTGTGAAAAAAAGATTAGTCAATCAACTCCCAACTTCCTTATCCAAACGAAGCGCACCTTTTGCCAACTACACGTGCGGTATTTGATTGTGTTCTCCGACTCCATGTCAATCTGGCGACCGATGCTTTCCGTCGTTGACGACGAGTCGATGGGAGCGACATGTTGCGAGCCACGGCGGCCCTGGCCCTCGATGTCGAAGTCCTTCAGCTTGGGATCCTGCTCGGACTTGTCAGACAGCTCGGGGGTGAGGTCGTGCTCCCGGTCATGGTCCCAGCCGGCAGGATTTGGCGATTCTTTTGACACAGCCATTTTTATGTTAAAGAGCGGAGGAACCGCGCTTGTCGGAACTCGGTGGAGTCGAGAGGAGAGTTGAAGATCTGCAGATGCATGTAATGCTCGAGAAGATAATTGATCGGATACTGGTCTCGTGTGAGCGGATTGTGTCCCTTTTTTTCGTGTTTATGTTTCTTCTTTGGACTGATGCACTGATTAGATACTTACGCTCAAATGATCAAATCTGAGGAGGTGATCGACGGGTTGGAACAAGCGATCAGAGATGGACGGATTAGGGCAAATGCGGGTACCTGGGGTAGTATTCCCTGAATTGAACGCAATTCTCGACTGGACCGGATGGGAAGAAGAAGAGATCAAAGAGATCAAAAGAAAAGAGAGAGAGAGAATAAAATTGAAAAAAAAAAAAAAACTAGTAGAAGTCGGTATACTAGAATACCATGTATGGCGCGATCGCATCACATAGCATGGTAATTATGGTATCTGGAGAATACCGTCATCTCCGACGTTCCCCACTGGTCTTTTGAGATCCGGAAGGAAAATAAAATAAAATAAAATGGTAAACCAGACAAAAAATAAGAAGTATGACGTTGTTGGAGCCAGGTCTCAGCCGCAATAGGCGAAGGCTAAGCCGTGGCTTACGCTTGGTTGTGCCAAGGGACTTGGGGAGTTTAGGGGATCGGACCTGATGTCAAGCATTAGGAATCATGGAAGTTGGATCTAGTCCATTTGACTTGATGGAAATCCCTTCT